AATAATGTATCAACATTGGCTCATCAATTATAACAAATATACCACACTAATGAAAGATGTTAATAACAAGGGACAGTATACTATCTGCTCAATTTTCTGTAAACCTAAAACTGCTCTAAAATACAAAGCCTATTAATTTTTTAAATTCTTACAGGCACTCACACAAAATACTCTTAATTATCCTGTATTTTTAGAAAATGAAAATTATACCACATATGTGATCTTTTCAATGATACAAGTTATTGGAAAAAAAGCATTTTCCCAAATTACTATTACAATAATATAAATGTTTCCGAAAATGTTAACTTTTATCTTATAAAAGTCAAAGCAATAGCCAAAGCAATCTGAAGAAGGAAGAATAAAGCAGGGGGCAACTCGCTTCCCAACTTCAAGCTCTACTACAAAGCCACAGTAATCAAGACAATTTGGTACTGGCACAAGAACAGACCCACAGACCAGTGGAACTGAATAGAGACTCCAGACATTAACCCAAACATACACGGTCAATTAATATTCGATAAAGGAGCCATGGACATACAATGGGGAAATGACAGCCTCTTCAACAGCTGGTGTTGGCAAAACTGGACAGCTACATGTAAGAGAATGAAACTGGATCACTGTCTAACCCCAAACATGAAAGTAAATTCAAAATGGATCAAAGACCTGAATGTAAGTTATGAAACCATAAAACTCTTAGAAAAAAACATAGGCAAGAATCTCTTGGACATAAACATGAGTGACTTCTTCATGAACATATCTCCCCGGGCAAGGGAAACAAAAGCAAAAATGAACAAGTGGGACTATATTAAGCTGCAAAGCTTCTGTACAGCAAAGGACACCACCAATAGAACAAAAACGTATCCTACAGTATGGGAGAATATATTCATAAATGACAGATTCGATAAAGGGCTGACATCCAAAATATATAAAGAGCTCATGCACCTCAATAAACAAAAAGCAAATAATCCAATTAAAAGATGAGCAGAGGATCTGAACAGACAATTCTCCAAAGAAGAAATTCAGATGGCCAACAGACACATGAAAAGATGCTCCACATCGCTAGTCATCAGAGAAATGCAAATTAAAACCACAATGAGATATCATCTCATACCAGTAAGGATCACCACCATCCAAAAGACAAACAACAACAAATGTTGGCGAGGTTGTGGAGAAAGGGGAACCCTCCTACACTGCTTGTGAGAATGTAAACTAGTTCAACCATTGTGGAAAGCAGTATGGATGTTCCTCAAAAAGCTCAAAATAGAAATACTATTTGACCCAGGAATTCCACTCCTAGAAATTTACCCTAAGAATGTAGCAGCCCAGTTTGAAAAAGATATATGCACCCCTATGTTTATCGCAGCACTATTTACAATAGCCAAGAAATGGAAGCAACCTAAGTGTCCATCAGTAGATGAATGGATAAAGAAGAAGTGGTACATATACACAATGGAATATTATTCAGCCATAAGAAGAAAACAAATCCTACCATTTGCAACAACATGGATGGAGCTAGAGGGTATTATGCTTGGTGAAATAAGCCAGGCAGAGAGAAAGACAAGTACCAAATGATTTCACTCATATGTGGAGTATAAGAACAAAGAAAAAACTGAAGGAACAAAACAGCAGCAGACTCACAGAACCCAGGAATGGACTAACAGTTACCAAGGGGAAAGGGACTGGGGAGGGTGGGTGTGAAGGGAGGGATAAGGGGGAAAATGGGGCATTACGATTAGCACACATAAGGTAGGGGGTGTGCACGGGGAGGGTTGTACAATACAAAGACAAGTAGTGATTCTATAGCATCTTACTATGCTGATGGACAGTGCAATGGGGTATGTACAGGGGACTTGGTGATGAGCGGAGTCTAGTAAACATAATGTTCCTCATGTAATTGTAGATTGATGATACCAAAATAAAATGAAAAAAAGTGAAAATAAAGAAAAATTGGCAAAAAAAAAAAGAAGAAAATCATAGGTCTGTCAGATTTCCAATTAAACTAATAAAGATTAGAAAAAGTGAAAAAAAAAAGTCAAAGCAAGCTAAACAAATAATACTGTCTGTCTCTTGCCATTTTGAAGTCCCTGGATTTTGCAATACATAGGAATCAATGATGACCTCTATCCTCACCAAAAAATTAATTACAAGCAATGCAGAGAGATACTTTCGCCTATTTCAATTGGAAAATGCCACAAAATTACAAAATTCAGCTGAAGACAATAGAAATAATAAATATCTCAGTATATATTACATTACATATTACTGAACTGTATAGAAAGATACCTAATTCATGAGCATCTTTAAGAAAATCACACATATTTAACAGAAAACATGTTCTTAAAAAGGTTTTGGTTTTTTTTAAACTAGAGTTCCTCAACTGATACATTCCTTCCTACTCCTGCTGACTTTAACATACAAAGAGCATGCCAGCACCAGTGATCTAGGTAGAATGATGACCAAGCCGGGTGAAAAGAATTCTGCAAGTCGGCTTTATACAATTCAGTAGGAGCTGGCAGCAGGTTTAAAATATCAAAATTGAACCAAACCAACTAAGCCAAAATAAAAATTACCACCTTTATTACCCAAGAGGTAAGCAACTGGTCTCTTGAGTTCATTCTTAGGCACTCTATACTGGCATAATTGAATCAGCATTCTTATCTCTATGAATAAAAAAGATTAGATTTTGCTGCAAAGCAGTAAACAGTGTGCTTTTCAACTGTTTTTCTGGTAATGGTGATGGCCTTCTGCTGACTCAGTCATGTTGCTGATTAAATCAATATCAGAAGATAAGAAAGCTAACTAGTCCACATGGGGATTGAACCCATGACCCTGGCCTAATTAGCACACTGCTAATCAACCACTAAAATAGCTACTGTGAATTAAGAGGTGCTTCCATTTATAGACCACCTTATAAATATCAGGTATTGTGCTAATTGCTTTATGAACATTATCTCTTACATTTCACAAAAACCATTCAAAGTAGATTCTATTCCTACTTTACAGATGTTGAAACTGAGAATGAGAATGGATAAGAAAGGAAAACTGATAAACAACTCTTGTCGGAGGTCTTACAGCTAGTAAGTCAAAGTTCTAGAACTCAAATTCAGGTCTGTCTGCCAAAAGGGTTTGCGCCCTTGTAAGTAACAAGGCTGTACTATCAATCAACTCCAGTTAAATCAAAAGGTGTTATATGATAGAACAAAAGAGAAGGATGTGTTACTTTTGATCTGAAAACTATATTTTTTTAATTTTCAACATCTTCATTCACAGTTTAAAGTTATCCTGATAATGAAAAGATGGATGTGTCTACTATTACTGTGAGTATCTTTACTCACAAAGTAATTTAGACTCATTCACAATGGCTTGATTAAGATGTTGACAAACATTAAACAATGAAGCAAATGTTCCTGAAAAACCAGGAAAATTAAAACAAATATCAATGTGTTAAAAGAAACTCAAGTAATAGTTTTTAATTTTCAATCAAATTCTTCCTATTCAACTAAAAAGAAAACAATACCTATTATTATTCCTTTAATTAAATGGCACAAGTAGAATAAACATTATTGGTGAACTATAAAATACTTTTGCTTTATAGAATTACTAATAAAATCAGATGTTTGTATTAGTGTAAACCAATACCATTAAAATTTTGAAAATGTCATTTTATATTAAAGATTATATATCTCTAGAATTAGAATTGTTATTAATTCTAGGATAGAATTAAAAGTTGTTAAATGAGCAGAAGTTGTTCAAAAGAGAACTGTAGCAAGAAGTGCTGGATTGTAGTCAAAGCAACCTCTTTTAGCCACAATAAGATAGCAAACATTTATTAAGAACTACCTATTAGAAACTACGTTCTCATCTCTGTGCTAGATGCTGGGAATGCAAAGACACTAAAAACAGCTCCAAAGACTTACAATTTAGTAAGGCAAACAGACTTGTAAGAAACTATAATTCAGGGCAGAGTAACAAAAATGTTAAAGTGCCCAATGAGGTAGAATGAGTGCTAGTCTACTCTAGAAGACCAGGGATCAGGAAAGGTGCCATAAGCAGTAACAATTCAGCCAGACCCAGATCTGATTTCTCCAGATAAGGAAATGATGGTGGGGTGGAAAGATGAGAACTGAACATTCCAGTTGAAGTGCAAAGCTAGGTGCGTGGATGCCTACAAGAGCAAGTAGAATGGAATGGCTGTAGTGCATAATTAGAGAACTACAGCAGAAAACTGAAAATGTAATTTGAGGTTATAGCATAGACAATCCTAATTATCAGCTCACTAAAGAATTGTAGGTTATTTGGCAGAAGGAAAGCTAAAGCTTTTTGAGAAGCTTATTTGAGTAGTAGTAACATAACCCTACCCTCAACCTCTGAGCAAGGGCTCTCAGTTGGAGTGCCTGGGCTGGTAACCTGGTTCTGCTACTTAGCTGTAGACTTTGCACTAGTTGCTTAATATATCTGTGCATTCATTAGTTTTCTCATTTCTAAATGGAAGTAAAACAGCACCAATTTATTAGGGGGTGTCACAAAAATAAAATGAGATGATACATGTCAAGTGTTTTATCCACTGCCAAACAGCAGCCAGCATGAGCCCTCAATAAATATTAGTTATAAATAATGCCTACATAATGTCTCCTTCAGCCCAGCAGTGCAGAACTAATTGGGACATTAAAAGTAGTCCAAGAGAAGGACACCTCAGGAACTGTGTATTGTGGATCTGCTAAGATTAAAAAAGAGTCAACTTCTAAATTGTCCCAGATCTATAAAAATAAAAGAGCAGTTTGGATAAACTATGTGATCTACTATAGTTCTGAGTTCAGAAAAAAGTTCCTTTTTAGAACTTTAGAGTGTAGTTACAAAAAAAAAAACCTATATGTAATGAATTAATTTTTCACTCTTACAATGTCTCAAACATAATACATTAACAATGAAACATAGCAAACTTCAGCGAAACCCTGGGCTATTTTATTAAATCCATTTGTTAGAAGAATAAAAGCAAAAACCTGTGATGTATGGGTCTTTGCAAGAGGAGAAGTGCATGCTTCTTGAAATTGATCTTCATTAATTCCAATTTCTTTTAGGTAACTTTCTAAGAGTTTTTCAACCTAAAAAAAGAAAATTTAACTTTTATAATTTACATAGAAAAATTCTAAATGACAGTTTTCATGTTGAATATTGAGCTCAGTAAAGTATAAAAAATGCTTGTTTGCAATTGTTAATCTACATAAAGTTATATTACATGGCAGTGACAATGTCTCATACCAAAAAAGCCAACAACAGAAAGTTAAAATTTTGCAGAGAATCAAATGAAAATGTATTTCCTCTACAAGAAATAACTGAAGTCAGAGTTATGACTTTCAAGATGGTACAACTTTTCTGCTACCCAGAGACATTTTTAAAAATCACAAGACAACTGTGGCTAAATTAATAATTAACACTTCCCTGAATGCATCAACAAAAGAATAAGAATAAAATTTAAAGACTAAATGCAATATCCCTTAAAATAGTTATCCTAAATCCATTCCTTAGATTCCAGAGTAGAAGACATCAGAAGTCATAAGTATGAGATGCTCAGAGAACCCTTGGAACCTGAGCAACTTGTAGTACTATTAGGGTAGATTTGATTTTTTTAATTAAAGAATTTTAATGGAAAAACTCATTTCTTTAATTTAAGAAAGCTAAAGTTAATACTATTCTAATTACCATTAAAAATCAATGAAAAAAATATACTCACTAGTTCTTTGTATTCCTGATGAATCTCTGTATAGGTCAATTTGCTTTCTTCCTCATCATCGAAAACTAAATTTAAGAGAAAAATATTGCAGTATTAAAAAAAACATGTCATTAACATAAATATAAAAGTCCACGCCTTATAAACAGAACTCTCATTCTTATAACCTTGCTTTTCAGATTTGAATTCTTGGATTCAAAAAAAAAGTATATATACACAAACACACACACACTCACAACTATATATATATGTGTGTGTGTATATATATATATATATATATATAGTTTAATTGTAAACAAGTCTTTTCTATTTAAGATCTACTTCATATATAAGACAAACACTAATTTGCTACTTTTCAATCAATAATATAAGGCAACAGTTTCTTTCTAATGGAAATTATTGTTAATAGTTTTTTAAGCATTTATTCCTTTTACAACAGATTCCAGACTATTTTATTGTACTGACACTTCGTTGATGCAAATTTTACAAAATGACAGGGTCATTTTTGTTACATATAAATCAAAAATGAAGTTAAAATATATAAAACCAAAACAAATGTTTGCTGAATGATCATGTGTGAAACAATGTAGATTAGAATGATACACATTCCCTCAAGAAGCTAGACTCTAATTAGGGAAACAGGACAAAGTCATGAATTGTAAAAAATAAATTTAAAAAAATCCTCCTGAATGGTTTCTAAAATGCAAACTAACTTCTGTAGTTTTTTATTTAAAGCTCTTCAATGACTGCTTTTTGCCTGGAGAATAAGTGCCAAATCCTTAGATGGCCAGACAAAACCACCAAGTTTGGATCCCAAGTTAAAGCTCCCACCACTCCAAAACCCAAACAATACACAATTACTTGGAATACCACCAAACATAGCATACACGGTGCTTCAATCCCCATGCCTTTACTCAAGCCATTCTTAGATCTTTGCCTTTACCAGACCCCCTTCTGCCAACCATTTTTCAAGACACTGCAAATGGCACATTCTCTTACACCTGTTACCACTCCCAACTCCTAGGCTGGTTAAATCCCTTCCTCTGAACTTTTATAATATACAGCACAATATGCCCACCTTTATTATAGCACCTGCCACTTTATATTTAAGTTCCATTTACCTGCCTGTCTTCCTCACTGAATTACATAAACTCCTGAAGTACAAGGATTTCATTTTATTCATCTTTCTAACTCCAGCTTCTAGCCCAAGGACACTCAATAAATGTTTGTTGGAATAAATGCTGTTATCAGTTACACAAAACACAATCTTTACATTATCTGAGGTGGAGAACAGCACACTGACAGCCCAAAGTTAGTGAAGTATAAACTGTTCAAGTGTCTCTGGGATGTTACTTACATTTCTTCTGGCATCTGGTCTACATTAACACTGGGCATACACTCAATACAGCAGCTACTTAACACTATTTTCAGTTACTTCTGTAACCAAATTACTACATAAGGCTAGGGATTACTGCTTATCTGTAAAACTACACAATCAGCTGTGTTATTACTGAGATACAGCCACTTTTGTCATTTGGGGATAAAGCAAAGAATAAAGCTTTGTTCTCGAATTTGGCATTAGTCTTAGAGGGGTAAATAGAATCAAAAGATGGCATAATTTACTTTTTCACCTAGAAGAGGTCAGAATTCCACATGCTTCATCTCATAATAGCATTTTAAATTCTTTAAAAGAACACAAAAGCTATCTTCGATTTCTTACAAAATTACCTGTAAAACCAATACTTAATAAATAATATTTGAATTTTGATTACGATCATGAGAATGTAATAAAAAGATTCAGTGGTCAAACTAAATTTCACCTTTTCCAATTCATGTAATCTTAGGGTTGAAAGGACTCTTAAAAAGTCATCCAGGATAACCAGGCATGTGATAACTGAATTCCCCTCTATTACATCTCCATTAACTTGCTGTCAGATCCATTCAAACACTGCTAGTGCCTGGGCAATTCATTACCTTCTCAGGTAACTTAACTGGGATACATTCTGTTTACAAAGTACTTTACAGACATTTGTTTCCCTGTAGCTTCTACCTACTGACCCTAGCTCTATCCCATTGAACCCTATAAAACAAGTCTAATCTCTCTAACATAACACAGATGTTCAAATGATTGATGGATATTACTGCCCTAAAGTCTTGCTCGGCTAATTAACCTCCATAACAGTTGGGCATTCACCCTTAACTACATGGTTTCTGTTCCTTTTCTGTGAATGCACTACCAACTGTCTCCAAGAACTGAATGCAGAATTCCAAGCGTGAACTGATAAGAACCTGGAGATAATCTTCCCCACAGGGAATATTATGCCACGTTTTCATATTCCTCATTTGTTAGACGATACCCCCCATTCTTGGTATAGCCGAGAGTCAGAGAGCTCAATAAAGAGAATATTGAGCGCTGGGATCACCGGCTCTGGGCCTTCTGGAGTAACCACATGTCCCCTTCGCAGTCAACCGTTGGGATCAGAAGGAATTCAGAGACAAAATGACACCTCTCTTCCCAAGTCACTGACGAAGTCATCGAAAAAGTCCACCCAAACAGTGCACCTCCTTCCCAGGGCAGAAACGTGCAGGATTGGGTGAGAGGCCCAACACAGGATTAAAGTCTAACGTTTTTCAGATGTGTGCATGGATCCAGCGGGAAGGGAGTCGCGGGCCAGGTTTTCAGTTCCGAGAAGGAAAAACTGGCGTAGTGACAGCAACACATTCTACAGACCAGCTCTAAACCTGGCCGACACGGGCGGAAACAATCTGGCCGACAAGGGTGGAGACAGGAGAGATGAGAGATTGTCGTGAGCACCACCATGCCTACTGCTGGTGTGAGAAGGGCGAGAAAGAAATGTCCATTCGGGTTTTCGTTATTACCTTCACATTTCTGCTCTACAAAGTCCAAGATGGGGATGGACCAGTCCGGGCCTCGCAGGAATCCCGCGATGCTCTCCACCACCCATTCCACCTCATCTTTTTCTTCCGCAGCCATCCTGCTCACTCCAGGGGCCGGGGATCCCTAGGCCAGACCCCCCGGACCCCGCTAAAGCCTTTCTGTCTCAGGCAGCCGAGAACCGAAAGGGAGAAGAGCGGCCTTCGCAGTCGCCCTGCTCCCTGGGTGAAAGCTACAAACCAGCTAACGTAAAATGGTCGCTATGGCAACACGCGTAGCCGCCCCTAGCTACCGCCCGGAAGTAAAGCCAACTTCCCCCCAGCCAGCGCAACTCAAACATGGAGGGGGACGGGGAGCGTTTGAAGAACGTTTCCGATTGGCTAGAAAAAGAACAGTAGCGGATGAAAAGATAGCCTTCGGCCCATTGGGCGGGAGTTGCTAGGGCTGACAGTAGGACTGTAGACGTTGGGTGGAGGTCTTGGTCTGACTCTCCGCGTTCCTTCTGAGAAATGCTTGGAAGGAGCTGAGGAGTAGAAATGGCGCAGTGGGGTACCCGCAGTGACCCGGATTCCGGCTTCAAAGGCTTCAGTTTACAGTTGTGTACCCAGCCGCTCAGTACCAACCACTTTCATACCCACTGCCTCAGAAGCGTTTGTAATTAAAGGGTTGTTTGAAAATATAAAACCGAGTAAAGTCGCTCTGTAAGTCTTACTGATGGGTTCTGCAGTCTGTATCCTGTAGCTATAGGTGGGTCTTTAACATTTTGTGCATAGATAGTAAAAACTAGAATTAAGAGATTTTTCCAAGGGCAAAATCGAAGTTAGTATTCATTTAAGTAAATGTTTACGTAACCAAGTCTTAAATCAAAACACCAAATTTTAGACTGGGTCCATTGTCTTCAAATGTTATTGCCAAGGTGCGTGCTGTCCCTAAAATATCCTCAAATAACCTTATATATTTACATAAGCGGGGTCGTGTGTGTGTGTGTGTGTGTGTGTGTGTGTGTGTGTGTGTGTGTGTGTGTGTATACTGAGCTTTTTTCACTTAATATATGGTCATCTTTTCATATAAAAACCCGAGACCTTCATAGCATTCTATAAACTACCAATTTAATCTCTTATTGTGTGTGTGTGTGTGTGTGTGTGTGTGTGTGTGTGTGTGTGTGTGTGTGTGTATACGCAGTATCTTACGTGAATGCATAAATGTGATGATTAGTGTGCAGGGTTTTTTGCTTTTTTCTCTTCCTGATGTGGGTGTACTAAACCATTTTTCTTCTCTGCAACTGCTGAAATAAACGTCTTTGTGTCTCTAAGAATTGCTGGTTTTACTAACTATTCCAAGGGTTAGATGCTAGCAGATTTGCTAAATAAAAGTATATTTGATGACACCGCCAGGGTGCGGAGGGTGTCCCCGAAACTTCTCCCAGAGCCCCGGGGCCCGGTCTCCAGCTCATTCCCTCGCCGCTGCTCCCAGTCCCCACTCCCTGCTCCGGGGCGGGGTGGGGAGAGGCCCGTCTCCCGCGAGGACACACATGGGGGCCGGGAGCGGGATGGGACTCTAGGCGGGGGGCGCCCCGACGGACGGACGGACGGGCGCCCGCCCCAGCGGGCAGGCGGCGGAGGCGGGGTGCGAGGGGAGGACCGGGCTGGGAGTTTCCCCCCAACTGTCGGGGGAACTGTCCCCGCAGCCGGAGGGAGACCTGGACGGCAACCTCCCGGGGCCGCGCTCCCCGCCCCGCGCATTGGCAGCCGGCGCCTCCACCTCGGCCGCTGCCCTGGCCAGCACTATGCCCATCTTGCTGTTCCTGACAGACACATATACCTCCATGAACCAGCGCAGCCATCTGGGCATCACCTACCTGGACACGGCCAAAGGCACGGTGGAGACCTTCATGAAGCTCCGTGCCCAGGACCCCGCCAGCGGAGGAGACACGTACATGCTGGTCACTTTCGAAGAGCCGCCCTACAGCCGTCAAGGTCGGATGGAAAGAAAACCACGCAACGTTTATGAATGAACTGAAAAACATTCAGGCTGAAGGACTCACGACACTTGGCCAATCTCTAAGGACAGCTTTTGATTTATTAAATTTAAATAGATTAGTAACTGGCATAGACAACTATGGGCAGGGAAAAAAACCCTTTTTTCTTGGAGCCAGCGATAATAATTACTATTACTGATGGGAGCAAGTTGACCACTACCAGTGGAGTCCAGGATGAGCACCATTTACCTTTACCTCTTCTCTGCCCGGGAGCGAGCTGACGAAGGAGCTGGGACCAGAGCTCTTTGCGTTAGTGCTGCAGCTGCCGGGCACCGCATCTGGGGACCCAGAGCCCTTGGCTGGCATGCCTCTTGACGACTCTGCCATCACGCCCATGTGCGAGGTGACAGGCAGGCGCTCCTACTCTGTCTGCTCCCCAACAATGCTTAACCAGTGCCTGGAGTCCTTGGTGCAAAAAGTGCAGAGTGGGGTGGTGATAAACTTTGAGAAAGCAGGACCAGACCCTTCTCCTGTAGAAGATGGGCAGCCAGACGTATCAAGGCCTTTTGGACCTCAGCCTTGGCACAGCTGCCATAGACTCATATATGTCAGACCGAATCCTAAAACTGGGGTTCCTATAGGTCACTGGCCTGTTCCAGAATCTTTTTGGCCAGATCAGAATTCTCCAACACTACCACCTCGTACATCTCATCCTGTAGTGAAGTTTTCCTGTACAGACTGTGAACCGATGGTTATTGACAAGTTGCCTTTTGACAAATATGAGTTGGAACCTTCACCTCTGACTCAGTTTATCCTGGAAAGGAAATCTCAAACATGTTGGCAGGTGTATGTGAGCAACAGTGCAAAACATAGTGAACTTGGCCATCCCTTTGGTTACTTGAAAGCCAACATAGCACTGAACTGTGTCGACTTACTTGTGATGCCTTACAATTACCCCATCCTCCTCCCCCTTTTAGATGACTTCTTCAAACTGCATAAGGCGAAACCTACACTGAAGTGGAGACAGTCGTTCGAGAGCTACCTGAAGACAATGCCTCCCTACTACCTTGGGCCTCTGAATAAAGCTGTCAAAATGATGGGAGCCCCTAGCCTAATAGCTGACAGTATGGAATATGGGCTGAGTTACAGTGTCGTTTCGTACCTCAAGAAACTGAGTCAGCAGGCCAAAATAGAATCTGATCGAGTCATAGGATCTGTAGGCAAAAAAGTAGTACAGGAAACTGGCATTAAAGTCTAAAGCCGATTGCATGGTTTATCAACAGCTTACAGGAAAGATTTCCAACAACTGCTCCAGGGGATCTCAGAGGATGTTCCTCACAGGCTGCTAGACCTTAACATGAAAGAGTATACCGGCTTCCAGGTTGCTTTGCTCAATAAGGATTTGAAGCCACAGACCTTTAGAAATGTATATGATATTCCCAGACAGAATCTTCGGGATCACTTAACAAGAATGAGGTCTAATCTTCTGAAGAGCACCTGCAGGTTTCTTAAAGGATAGGATGAAGATCAAGTGCACAGTGTTCCTATAGCACAAATGGGGAATTACCAGGAATACCTCAAGCAAGTACCTTCTCCCCTGCAACAACTCTATCCTGACCAGCCGCAGAGGCTGCATACGTTTGGCAATCCCTATAAGCTGGATAAGAAAGGTATGATGATAGATGAAGCAGATGAATTCGTGGGTGGACCTCACAGTAAGCATAAATGGCCTGGAGAACCAAATATGCAAGGGATCCCGAAAAGGCGCCGCTGTATGTCCCCCCTGCTGGGCGGCCGGCGCAGGGTCCCGTTGCGAACAACCACATTGGAGGAAAAGGGCCACCCGCGCCTCTGGCACAGGCCCGGCAGGATCTCATTAAATCCCTGCCTCTTCACAAAATTTCAGAAGACACTAACGATTCGACAATAGACGATGTGGTTGAAAATCACGTGGTTGACCACCTCTCACCAGATGTGACACCAAACGCTGTGGGTGCCGACTTCTCAGCATCTTCTGCAGCCAGCTCACTGGAACGACCAGCCAATCACACAGAGGCTCTGAGTCATGACCATCTAGGAACCGATGACCTCAGCGTTGGTGGGTTTTTAGAGAAACATGAGGAGCCAAGAGATAAAAAACAGTGTTCTGAAGAGAATGTACCAGTATCTTCACTCAACAAAGGAAGGAAATTGGTGCACTGCAGAAGCCATGAGGAGGTCAACACCGAACTAAAATCACAAATAATGAAAGAGATCTGAAAGCCAGGGAGAAAATATGAAAGAACCTTCACTTTACTGAAGCATGTTCAAGACAGTTTACAAACAAGACTAATATTTTTACAGAATGTCATTAAAGAAGCATCAAGGTTTAAAAAACGATGCTACTCGAACAATTGGAGAACTTCCTGGATGAAATTCACCAGAAAGCCAATCAGATCAACCATATTAACAACAATTAGAAGAAACAGTCCGTGGCCGCCGTGTCACTGTCCTCTCCAAACACAAAGTAAACCCCAGGTTGCCCTGGTCTTGCTCTCATTGACATGCACTGTTGGCTGTCTGAGATGCTAGGAGCAAGTCCGCAGACCCCTTCCCAGCATTTCACAGTGACCTTTTCTGCATTTTGGTTTATTTTCGTAATGTGAAAAGTATCACTCAAACACATTTTTATTTAACAAACTAAAAATATTCCTCCAAATCTCTTGTTTGTCATCGACTCTTGCGTGTCAATTTCCCTCAGGTTCTATTTTCTTAAACCAACCTTTAAAATTGTCACCTCTGTTAAAGTTGAACTTCGCCAAAAAAATTTAAAAAGTTACTTGGTAATTTTTGGGGAAAAAGCACATACATTAAAGCTAGGTAATGTTTTGCATATACAGTTACTTTTCGACAACCAGGTTCGTTTTAAGAACATGCAGAATGTGGAGCATATCCCACTGTCCTTGGACAGAGCCATGTGACTTGTGAAAGACGTCTTCATTTCTGCTGTGAGTGGGATGTGTACACTGGCAACGCACTCAAGATCTGCATTGTGACCAAGGAGGGCATCAGGGAGGAGACTGTTCCCCTAAGGAAGGATTGATTTGTGTACTGTTTTCATTAATCAGTTCAAAAACTGGTTGATTTTATACCCTGTAATTATCAGACTAATCTGTTGTATTAAAGATAAAAAAAGTATATTTACCTTGTTTTATTTGACCAATCTGCTATTACTAGGTTAAATTACTTGAATTTTTGAAACTCATAAACAATTCTGTAATGAATATACTTGCACATAGATTTT